TTTGTAGCACACATAGAGGGGACCTTGATACACCTTTACACGAAAAAAAAAACAATTGAAAAAAAAAATCTTTTTGGCTCAGGAAAGGGGGGGGGTCCCCTTAAAGAGTGAAATTGAGGTCAGAGAGAAGGTTTGGTTGATAGATGAGTGTCGAAAACGTTGGAGTCAAAGAGAACGCGAAGGTTTGAAGACTGATTGGACCAATAGCTACTATCGAGGAAAATATATGATCGAATCCACTGCAGAAAAACGGAACTCAAGGGAGAAAAAACTCGAGATGAACATGGTTGGTAGATACTATACCTCAAAGCATGCATAGCCATGTTACATAGTTAATCTGATATTTCGAGTATATACGCAAATGCGTCACTAGAAAAATGTACATACATGCATAAAACCCAACTTATTCGGTTTTTCTTTTTGCCACTCCGCTAAGTAACGGGAATATACTATTTAGAAGATATTCGATGGCATTAAATATTTTGGAAGCAGTTTACACAGATTTTAAGTATGCATCTCTCAATACCAATTGCTCTCAACCCACAATGGTATTGACGCGCATTGATATTAATGATATAGTTATTGTTATGTCCTTAGTTTTTTTCGAAAAAGAAAGTGTTCTACATAAAAATCACGACTTGTTATGAAGTTTGATTATAAGTAATGGAGATTGAGGAATCTGAATCTGCAATTAGTTTCTTAGAGTTCTGTACTTGAAGTTTCGACTAAAGGAGGAGATTTTTGAAAAATTAATGGTTTATATTAAGTTTGACCATTTGTAGACGAAACTAGTTTATTAGATCAAACAATCAAGTTCGAACTTTCCAAACCTAACAGCATCTTGAAACCACGTGCATCCGAAAAAATCTGATAAATCTTTATAAAGAAAACAAAATCCTTCTTTGCTGAAAAGGTCCTTTCTTTAACGGACAAAACTAGGGATGTAACGGTGCCAGTACAAAAATATGAAAGCCGGTCAATACCAATTCCATTCAATCATGATAATTCACTATGGTATTGTTGTTGGAACATGCCTCATTTAAGGTTCCAAAGGATTCTTAAATACTGCTAACGATTTCTAGAGAGTCCTAGAGATTTCTAGAGATTTCTAAAGGTTTCTAGAGATTTCTAAAGATTTCCAAAGATTTCTAGGGTGTTCTAAAGGTTTTTTGGGATTTTCAAAAGTTTTCGGGTTCAAAATCTTCCTTTTCCCCCCTTGGGTGGGGGGGGGGGGGGGGGTTGGGGGGGGGGGGGCGTGTGCGTGTGGGCGAGCATGGGTGTGGGTGTTGGTGTGGATGCTGCTCTTCTCTTTATTCACACCCCACAGCCGTATCCTGAACGTAAAGTGACGAAAAAACTGAGGATACCTGCATCATTTGATTTATTTTGACTGGGAAAAAAGTCACAGCATGGTTTGAAGAGAGTATATGAGAAGCACATATTGCACACAAAGTTAGAGATATCGATACAAAAAATACGACGCTGTCAGATAAAAAATAGTCATGCTTGGTTTATTCAGTTAATTTATGTGAGAGAAAAGAAAAATTGTCGACAAATATAAGCATGAGAAACGCTTGCCGACTCGCATTGTCCCACGTGCATATTTCGATGTTACATGGTAAGTAGAGTGTTTTTTATGCTCTCGGTGTTCTTACACTAACGATATGTTTTACTTTGATAATACATCAGTATTGATAGTAATGACAGTAAAAATGATGAAAACTAAACATAAATTTTTGCAGTCAGCGAGCGCAAAGATAACGAAAATAGGACTATATAGAAAACTTCAGTCGGAATAGGGTGTGAGTGTCGGTGTAGGTGTGCGTGTGAGTGTGTGTGTGGGTGGGTGTGGAATATGGGTGTGGGTGGGTGTGGAATATGGGTGTGGGTGTGTGGGGTGGGTTATGAGGCGAACAACAACCAAACCCAAACCCACACCCTCTTTATGCCTAATTGATATTTCACCGGCCTCTAAAATTTCGTTGCAACAACTTGCTGACAAAAATTCTAGTTTAATTGCACGTATTGGTTGTTGAGCTTTATTTTTTAAGCAAACAACATTTGCTATATCTGGATGTAAATCTTTTAGCTCTTTTACAAAGTCCTCCCAATTTGTTTGCATGGAAACTGAAGGTAGAACTAGCGAGAGTTGTGGCGAATAGATGGTTTCTTAGTTAAGTAGTTATAGCCAGGGAGAGTTATCGGCCAGTTTTTTTTCATTATGTAGAAATGCGAAGGAGTTGCTGTTCTCGACAAAGATCAAAATACGACATTCATTGTTTTAGATCGGTCTCTTCGATATGTTATCAGTTTTAAATCGAACTTGTGGTTCTCGCTTATATATTTCGTTAGATCATCCAGTACCCTCGTATCTCGAACATCTTGTGCAAATATTACCGAGAAAGGTGAGAACGGATATCTAGTAGTTGCGAAGCGGCAGGGTGTGGGTGTGGGTGTGGGTGTGGGTGTGGGTGTGTGGGTGTGAGGGTGTGAGGGTGTGGGTGTGGGTGTGGGTGGTGCGGGTGCGAGTGTGGGTGTGGGTGTGGGTGTGGGTGTGGGGTGTGGGTGTCCGTAAACGCTTCATTAACGACACCCACCCACACCCACACCCACACCCACACCCAAATCTACACCCACACCCACACCCGCACCTACACCCACACGCACACCCACACTCACACCCACACCCACACTCACACCCACACCCACACCCACCCAATCTGCTATTCTCAACTCTAGCTTTTCAGCAATCGATGAAATCAAACAATAGAATTATATTAAATAAATCAGTTTAAACTAAAATAATGAAATAATGCAGAGTTAATTTCGCCGACGCGTTTCGTGTTATTTATTAAAATATTGAAACACTCTTCAGGGCTCTGCATTATAATAAATGAAAAATAAGAATAAAAATAAAATAAACACAATTTATAAATGAAAATAAACAAAAATTAAAATGAAAAATATATAGAAGGCAAGGATTTAAAGAAATCAGATAAAATATAAAGAATATTTGGATTGGATTGTAGAAGAATGTAGATTAGCTTATCGACAAATTAAATTTATATGAAATTTAAAATGATAATATAGTTTTGAGTAGGACAAAGTAAATTTATGATAAATTGAAGAGGGGCACAAAAGAGATGATGAAAACTTTGAGCTTGTATAATGAATTGATGAGTGAAAAAGACATATTATTATATAAACTTAAAATAATAATGAAATAATCTAATAATTTCTAATATTAATTTTTTACCGATTTAAATAAGAAAATAATAATAATAATAAACTTTAAGCGATAATTGTAAATTTTTAAATATAAATGATTTTATAAGGTAATGATATTAAATAGTTTAACATATATTAAAATAATTCCAATTTAAAGATTATCTAATAATAATAGTAATTTGTAGTAATAATTAGGAATTATAATTACTAAATTCTAATGAATAAGTTTGGAAATTTTTATTTGATATAAAGTATAGTGTTTGAATAAAGTATATTATTTGAATAATTAAGTTGATATGATATTGATTAATCATATAATAGAAGACAGATCAACTTATATGTCTACTACACAAGTCAATCTGCTATTCCTAATTTTTGTTTTTTAGCAACTGATTGAGTAAAAAAGAATTATAATTTCCAGTGACTTGCTATTATATTGAAAAAGCTTTACAATCTGGGTCATGACATTGATGTTGATATATTTTTCTGAAATATGTTTGTAATTTGGTATTATACAATTACTACTAATAATAATAGTTTGACATTTTGAATTTTTGCTTTTCAGCAATCGATTAAATAAAATTAAATAAAAGGATTGTAATTTTTGGTACCTTGTTGCTATATTGAAAACCCATGTCAAAAAAACCGGATCATTTTTAGCGGTAAACCGCGATTTACCAGCCAGGAGTCGGTAAATTGAACAAAACCGGCGGTTTACCGCGGTAAACCGGAAAAATGTAGCGGTAAACCGAAAAAAACGCGGTTACCTGAAAAAAACCGTGTTAGCTGAAAAAACCGAGCTAAACCGAAAAAAAACGCCGGCTTTCCGCTGTATGAAAGCCGGTAACCGGATCGGTAACACCGCGGTAAACCGCCGGTTTTCTCCCGGTTTTCACTATATTGGAAGCCTTAAAATCTGGATTATGACATTTTATGTCGGTATATTCTTTAGAGATATGTTTGTAAACATTAATAATAATAATAACTTGATAATATATTAAAAACAATAATAACTTGATATTATATTATATTAAAAGGCTTTACAATCTGGATTATGACATTTATATGAATAGATTCTCTAGAAATATGTTCTTAATTTGGTATATTCAACAACTATTAATAAATAATAAGTTAATATTATATTAATAAATTTTTCAATCTAAATTGTAACATTAATGTCGATATATTCTCTAGAATTATATTAATCTTGTATGTACTAATCGTCGTTGAAGATTATTAACATTGCGCGTACCCAGTATTGGTATAATTTCATTAATTGGAGAATTGCCAAAATATTTGTCCCAAAGAATATGAAAATTGGTTGGGACTGTTTCCATGTTTGAACAATATGTAAAATGTGTGACCATTGTCTTTTCATAATCGATTGGTATTTTTCTTTTATTGGAGAATCTATAATCATTTGACGATATTTAATATAATTATTACAGGTTAATGACTGATCAATATTAATTTTTAAGAAAACGTTATTGAATTGTTCATTTATGAACTTATTCGGATATTTATTTAATAATAATGCCATTCGTAATTTTTCACGTTCATTTAAATATGCTTGAAAGGATGAGCAATATCTAATTGTTCGTAATAACATTGTAAATATTATATTCTTTTTCATATGTAATAGATGAATACTTTTGAATGGTAAATAATATGGCTCATAAGATGGTTTTTGATAAACTGTAGTAAATAATTGACCATCTTGACTTTTTATATGTAGATCGAGGAAATTAGCTGTTGAACCAATATTTTCGAATAATTTGATATTTTCGTCGAAATGATTCCATTTATCGATTTGTTTCAATAGATGTCGAGCAGGCAAATCAAGTGCTATAAATATATCATCAATATATCTAAAATACAATTCACCGCTATTGTTGATTTGCCTAACTATATTTCTTTCATAAAAGAACACATAACAATTAGCAACACTTGATGTAAGAGGAGAACCCATAGCTCCTTCATGAATTGGATGGTAATATTGGCTAGCATAAGAGAAATAATTATTTTGCATGACAAATCGACTTAATCTAATAATAGTTTCGATTTTGAGAGCACCACCCTAGTCGAACATCTTGTAAGCAAGATCTTATCAAGATCTTGATAAGATAATTTGTATGTATATATCTTGGTTGTATCAGATAAATCTGTACCAAAGATCTTGATAAGATCATACAAAAATATCGCTTAGTATTATCTTGGCACAAGATCTTGAGCAAAACAAAC